GAACAGATAATATGGTGTTGGATACAAAATTCAGGCAGATTTTCAGTATAAAAACTGGAGACTTCAAGGTACTTTCTTGCTTTTGAGGATTCCTTTAGATACTGAACTCACTGACCACTAAGCACCAAGATTCAATTTTGGAGTTGGAGAGATGACTCAGCAGTTCAGAGTGCTTCCCAATCTTGCAGAGGACCTGAGATCAATTCCCAGCACCCATGTTAGATGACTCACAATTGTCTATAACTCCAGCTCCCAGAGATCTGATGCCCTCTCCTGGCCTCCAAGGGCATCTGCAGAGACGTGTACCTACATGCACATAGACAGACAGACAGACAGACAGACACACACACACACACACACACACACACACAATAAAATAAATGAAATCTTTAAAAGACTCAATCTTACAGAAATACATTATGATGTTCACCAATACACTTCCATCATAACATCTAGAATTTCACACTAGCAACATGTTGGTGGGTGGCTCTGCCCAGGGTGGGCACAGGATACACTTGAGTTCAACCCAACATTCAAGGGAAAGGTGGTAAGCATCTGACTCTTTTCTAAAGGGTCCTGCATCCTGCTACAGCCAGCTGGGTTGGTGTAGCCTGGCAAACACAAAACCGTCACTCTACATTCTCCCTGGATGGACTCTCTTGGCAGTAGCCTGCCAGCTTCCTACCCCTAAGCATAGCATTACTAGACTCATATCCACCACCAGTCCCCACACAAACTAAGCCTTCTTCTAAAACGCATGAATGATAATAATTTCATTGAAGGAAGTCAAGAAACAGGATATATCTCTTGAGACAGGGTGTCCCTGATGGTTCACAATGCAAGGGTGGAAACTTTTTCTACTGTTATAGCTGGCTTTGTTTGTAAATCAATTACCATATGACAGAGACTTGGGGAGAGGGGTTTCTAGAAAGAGCCACTACTGACCACAGACAAGAGGGGGGAGAGGAAAATCAATGGAAGGCCACACAGAAATAAAAGCAGTTTAATTAGGTTTCCTTTTTGTTTTGTGTGTAAAATACATATTCGAAAAGACTAAACTGCTTTTAAATTAAGAACAGAGAACATGAAATTTTAATGAGACAATAATACATTAAAGCATACTAGAAAGACATGTTATTAACAGGATGCAGGAAGAGAGGAACACAACAGGAAGGGACAAGAAAGAAAAGGATAGAGGAAGGAGAAACAGAAAAAAAAGCCTCAAAAGCATCGCGATCCAGCACTTCACAAGGTGCCCGAAGCAGGAGTGATCGAAGAAGCCATGAGCGGGTTCCTAGGGCCTGAGCGCTGGTGGCTTGGGCCACAGATGTCCAGGTGTTATCATCTTCCATCCTTGCTTTGGATGGCTAATGCTCTGGTTATCCACTGCTCTCAGCCCTTTAATTGCTCACTGAAACACTGTGAGGCTTACACGGTGAAGCTTGAAGGCCAGAGCCTCCCCACCTCCCAAAGACGAGGTTCAGGAGCTCAGTCCAAATCCACCCTCTACAAAGGCAGTACATGAAATGTTCTCTCATAAAACATAAGATGGAAGTCAGAGGAAAAAATGCTGCCTGCATTAAAAAGAGACACGTTCCCTGGAAAACTTTAGTTTTGTGCTGGAAAAAAAAAAAGGAAAAGAGAAAAAGAAAGAAATGCACACACATCAAAAAGAAACTGGAATTTCAGCAGAATGGGGTTCAGCTCGCACCAACATCACCGCCCTCCCAGCCCACCTGGCTCTCCTCGTGTTTAAGTTCGGCATGCTCCAGCTAAAGGTCTTGCTTGGCTCTGAACTCACTCTACAATCAGAGCGTCAGCAGGGAGAATCTAAGGCAAGATCACTGCATACAACACCTCCCCAATACCACACACACACACACACACACACACACACACACACACACACAAACACAAACACACACACACACAGATACACATATACACACATAAACACACACATGCACATATACATACACACATGTACACACACATACACACACACACATCTAAGCAAAGGGGCTCTGCTCCTTACTTCACTCTCCAATCCAAGGACACAGGCTGAAGCTATGGAGTCTCCAGCTCCCTGTTCATCTCTTGTTTCCTCCTCACTTTTCCCCCTCCCTTCTTAGGCTCCTCTCACAGGAGGGAGAGCTTTACTCTAGAGCATAAGACCCAGATTCATGCCCCATCTGCATCTTGTTAGCGGTGACCTCAGACAAATGACCAAACTTCCCAACACTCACTCCTCAGTGAAGGCTGCTGAATGGATCAATCATAGAGGAAGGCCCCCTCCCCACGTTCCCAATATTGAAATGTTCACCTGTGCAAGCATAAATAAAACATAGATGGGGAGAGAATGAATTAGAAACGGCCTCTCCTCAGCAACCTGTCACCCATCCTCCCCTCCCCCACACACCAACTCTGAGGTCTGAGTCTCTCACTCTGGATCATTCTGAATTATTTACTACTCTAAAACCACATGAATCACATCAATCAAGAAAAAGGTAGTCTGAATCCAACCAAAGCCCGAGTGTCCTATTTTAGTCCTATTGTTAAATACTGAGAATCTAATATCCAACTAGCAAACAGGAAAGAATCTAAAATCGACATCACAAAATGTACTTGTGAATTTAAATTAAGTAATGCTACTGGAAACCTAGAAAGTCATTGCTGTAAAGCCTCCCACTTCACCAACAAGAACACAGAAGAAAGCACAAACCCAAGGCCCAAACAGCTGATCAGAACCAAAGCTGGCCATGCCACTTCTGACCCAAGCTCTTTAACCAAATATCTTTTCTTTCTTTTTTTCCTCTTTTTTTTTCTTGGATCGTCCATTCCTCCTTCAAAGACAAGCTAGTTAAATCCTAAACTGCCAGGAGCTACCCTCTGCTTCCATGCCCAGAGAAGGGCCCAGCGAGAGTGGAACTGGAGTGACCAAGACAATACCAATGCCACACAGACAAAGCTCTCTTCCCTGGACCCTATCATTCCACACTCTGCTATGAGCACCCCACTTTATTTTGGAGAAGAAAAAGAAGAGCCGAGTGAGTCTTTGTTCTGCCAGGAAGAAGCAATTTTCTTTTCTTCTTTGCCATAATTCCAACCTCATCCCAATATTCCCAATCTCTTCAAAAAGTTTACAGAAACTCTACCACTATAGCAAACAAAAGCAGGTAAGAGAAAGACAGAGCCAACAAAGGGGGTGGGGGCTCTACAGAAGAGGGTGGTGGCCTTCACCCCACAGCTCAAAAGCACTTCATTTCAGCTACTAACTGCCTGCAGAAAAGTCACCAGACAGTTATCACAGGTCCTCAAGTTGAAACATACACCATCTTTGACTCCCTAAGAACTACCCCTTTCCTAACCTGTGCCCAGAGCAGGAGTGGCCCAACAGACCACCCTTTCCCCTCAGGCTCTAGGAGACCACAGGGCAGGGCTGGCATGGAGTTATTTAAGGCAGTAGCATGAGGGTGGAGCAGAAAACTGTTGGCAGTGTCTTCCTCCTCTGCCCCTCCCCCTCACAGCCAACACATACACCTCACTCAGTAGACATCTCACTCACCAAAGGCCGAAGCTACAATCTCCAAATGTGTCTTCTGTCATTGAGACTGCTGTCCCTCCCTTTCTGCTGTCCACCCCACTTTTAATCCACCCTTCAGTCACCACCAAGCTATCTTTCCAACCAAAAACACACACTCAAATCTAAACAGGCACTCAAAAATCAAAGAAACATGTGGCCGGACAAGCCATCCCTGGCCTTCCTCTAGGAAGAAAAAGGACACACCAGTGGGGGGGGTTGAAGGGTGGAGAGATGCAGCCAGAGGCCTAACATGCCAGGCAGGTTCTATGATGTCTCTAGATGAACCTCCCACCTACTGACAGTGAAATCAATTCGAGCAATTTCAGTAGGTTGGCCCTGTGACAACAGGGGCATCCCAGAGCTCAGCGATTCAAACAAAAATCCAAAGGCTCACCCAGAACATGCTGGGAAAACCCTCGGACTGGATGAAATGAGCCCGCTCATTGGGATCCCTTCTGCTTTTATGTAGCAATGCATAATAAATTCTGTCTGCCCGAAAAAAAAAAAAGCATGCACTGATGAATTTCAAAGCCGTAGTACGACAAGCAGAGGCACCAGGATACAGAATTCGACAGCACATCGCCCTTCAAAGGAACATAATGACTTTAAGCCTCTTTTCCCTTCTATCTTGAATGTCACTGCCGCTTATCAAGGAAACCACGCTGGAAAGCAGGGAGAGACTGCCCGGGACATCATAGGAAAAGGAGTAGCTTTCCGTCCCTTTGGCGATGGGCTGCCTAGCGAGAGAGATGCTGTCATCCATTGGAAGGATGAAGGGGCCTGGGCGGTGAGCGAAGGCACCTTATCCCTGGACACACACCCACCACCACAGGCGGGTGCAAGCGGGGTATGGGCCAGCGGCATGAAGTCCCGGCGCCCATCCAGCCACCCTCTGCTTTGAGGATGGAAGGGGAGGGTGCTGATGAATGAACACACCTGAGATGCCTCCATCCCGCCGCTGGCTCCTTCCTTCTACCTCTGGCAGCAGCAGAGGAGACCCTCGGTAGTTTCACTTTCCAGGCAAAACCCACCCGGGCTCTCCCGTCTCCAACCACCCACACCGCAGCCAGCCTGAGGCGGGCGGACATTCCCTCCTATCAGAGGCCATGATCGCAATTACCTCCACCTACCAAAACCGAAAAGGCAGAAAGAAATCTGGAACCCCTCAAGCTCCCTGCGTCCTAGCAACTTTCCTTGAAGAGATGGAGGGGGACGCAAGGAGCAGCCGGGAGTAACGGGTGGGCAGAGGTCCCCCACGGCAACCGGGGATGCTCTGGGGAAGGAGGCCCCCCAGGTCCCTCCAACAGCTGGCCCTTTAAAAGCACCACCTCCGCGCAAGGAACAAAGGCGCCGCTCCGGGGGCCCGCTGCGCCCGCCCGGGAGCCACCTCCGGAGAGCGCAGCCGCCACCCGCTTACCTCGCGGGTCTCTGGCGAGGGCTGCGCGCGTCCAGCCCGGCTCGCGCTCCACGCTGCAGTCAACCCCGCTCTGTTTTTCTGCTACTCCGAGCTGACTTCACCGACACTCCGCGGCCGGCCAATGGGCGGCGGCGACCAGCCCCTCATTAGCATGCCCTGGAACCGTCCACTCCGGCAGCGCCCAGGGGGCGGGGCCTGGCCGGGCCGTGACAGGAAGGGGCGTGTGCGCCAATGAGGAGGCGAGGAAGAGCCCGCCGCCAAGCCCGCTTCCCCGGGAGCGGGGCGCGCGCCCGCGGATCCCCCGCGGATAACGCGCCCGCGCGCCCGCTAACCCTTTCCGCCCTGGGCTGGGCGCTAAAGCCCCTGGACTCAGGTCTTCTTGTCTCCCTAAGGGTTTGCCCACAAGGAGCTTGAACAGTAAGCATAAACCAGCAGCAGCCAGTGCGTCCTGGCTATATATAAATTATTTAACCCAGTACCCTTTTGACTACCTGTAAAACATCAAATCTTGCTCACGACTCTGCCACTCCGGTTGTATTCTACCAGACAGGTGCCAAATGTTTCCTATTTTTTCGTTTGTTCATCACAACTTTTTTTTTTTTTGAGACATGTTTTCTTTTCTTTTTCTTTTTTTTTTTTGTTTGTTTTGTTTTGTTTTTTGAGACAGGGTTCTTCTGTATTGTTTTGGAGGCTGTCCTGGAACTCTCTCTGTATACCAGGCTGGCCTCGAACTCACAGAAATCCTCCTGCCTCTGCCTCCTGCTGGGATTAAAGGCGTGTGCCACCAACGCCGGGTGACGCTCATGCTCATGGTTTCTAGGGTGGTCTCAATCTCACTGTGCAGCCAAGGATGACCCTGAACTCATCTTCCTACCTCCACCTCCTAAATGCTGAGATTACAGGTTTGCCCCCACATACACACCCCAGGCCATCTTCCTGACTCTGTCTCTAGAGTGGAGGCAGAGTCAGGATTATAGGCTGCACCGCTCTGATAGATTGGCACTGAGATTTTATTCATGCAACCTATATTCAAGGTTCAATGGACAGGAATGCATTGAGCCCTGGGTTTACTAAAAAGGGCCCTCCCCTTAAGAAGCTAACATTTAAGGGGGAGGGGGACAAGTAAACCAGATCATCAGTAAATGAACTAGATAGAGTAATAACCAAGCACAGGCAGGGTATGCAGTTTTGTTCCTTATGCTTACTGTCTTCTGACCTTCTCTAGTTCCCTACAGGATAGCAGAAAGGACAATGGGGAGGAGAGATCGTACAGGTTCCATGAGCCCAAAAGCTAGTCTGGAACTTGCTTCTTCCATGACCAGCTTCCCACACCCCAAGGACATCCTCAAGGTAGGTGTCCTAGTTAGGGTTTCTATTGCTCTTACAAAAACACCATGACCAAAGCAGCTTGGGAGGGAATGGGTTTATTTGGGTTACACTTCCAAATCACAGTCCATCAGTGAAGTAACTCAGGACAGGAACTCAGGCAGGGCAGAAGCCTGGAGGAGGGAGCTGTTGCAGAGGGCACTGGAGGGGTGCTTGCTCCTGCGTGGTTTGCTCAGCCTGCTCTCTTATATTTACTAGGACCACCAGCCCAGGGGTGGCGCCAGCCACAAAGAGCTGGGCCCTGTCCCATCAATCACTAAGAAAATGCCTGCAGCCCCATATTATACAGGTATTTTCTTAATTGATGTTCCCTCCTCTCAGATGACTTTAGCTTGTGTCAAACAGACAAAACTATCCAACAGTAGGATAGCCACCCTTCAGGCTGAGCATAACTAATTCTTTTCAGCTGCCTTTGGCAAGAATCTTGAGCCCAAGCATGTTCCCAGTTAGCAGGCTGTGTGGTGGGGTAAGGCTAGTGACTGCACAGGCCAGGGGAACCCCATCTGTGAAAGTTCTTAGATTAGGGAACAATGACAAGTCCTTGCTGAGCACCTGCTGTCCTGAACTGTGTTGTTTGTTTGAGTATTTTATTGAAGACTCCTAGCTGTCTGGTAGCTCACTCCATAAACAAAGAAGTAGGAAGCCACCAGAGAACCCAGGGATCTCTCAGCACAGGGCTCTGCCTCACCCAGACCTTTGAAAACACTTCCCAGGCTCTACTGATAACTTATACCACCGTCTGGACAAACAGCGCTCTAGTCTGTAAAGCAATAAAACAGAAAGTGTTTATTTGCCTGTCTGCTCTGCTGTGCACTGCTGTACTTGTGCTAAGAGCTTTATATGCACTGGTCTATACCAAGCAACAAACATAGGGAGGTAGGAAATAAAAGGCAGAGAAGCTGAGTCTATTATCTACCTACCAAATTCAGGCAACAGGATTTAGAATAGGAAAAGAAAAGGCCATAACAATTCAAATGTTCAGTTTGGGTGAGTTGGTTAAGAAAATAACAGTACAACCATTTGACAGAATTTCAGGTACCCATGAAAAATGGGGAAGTATTTTGGGTAATTAAAAGGGGGACTGGGGAGTTGACTTAGCAGTTCAGAGCATTTATTGCTTTTGCAGAGGACCTGGGTCCAGTTTCTAGCACACACATGGTAGCTCACAACCATTAGTAACTCCAATTACAGTGAATGTAATTAGTAGATCCATTACAGTGGGTCTAGTGCATTTTCTGCCCTCCAAGGGCACTAAGCATGCCCATGGTTCACATATGTACATGCAGAAAAACATATCCATACACATAAACAAATCTTTAAAAAAATTAACTGAGATCAGATCTCCCACTTTCTTCCCATGGCTTACTTTGAACTCCTGAGCTAAAATACTCCTTCTGCCTCTGCCTTCTGATTAGCAGACACTACAGGCATATGCCACCATGCCCAGCTATTGACATATCAACACTCAAAGATGTTTATATTACTGAATAGGAAAGTTGATTGGAAACTGATGTGTAAAATCCCATTTTCAATTTTCCTCTAGAATTATGTACAACTATTTTTGTTCATCTTTGTTTTTCTGATTTTTTCCTTTATAAACATAAAAAATAATTTAAAAATGAAACACCAGGCCCTATTCAGGGAAATTTGAACTCTACTCAAGGCCATTCCCGGAAGTGAGAAATTAACTCAAGGGAACTAAAGTGATGCTGAAACCCTGAAGTCACCTCTTAGTGGCCTTAGCAACTGTCCCATTTCTCACTGGAAAGCATACAATGTGGTGCCTAAGAGAAATAGGAAGATCTGGGAAGGACAGGAAGGTGGCAACTGGGAGAAACAGAGAGAAAGCAAAACCTACCTCAAGACATACCTCAGACCTCTCTTTCATGAAGACCTGAATAGGGTAGTTCATTCCTGAGATACCAACACTTGGAAGGCTGAAGCAGAAGTTCAAAGTCAGCTTGGACTACCCAGTGAGACCCTGTCTCAAAGAGCAGCTCCCAAGCTGTGGTCTAATAATAGTCCATAATAAAAGCAACCTAAGAGATCATTAGGTTTAATTATACCAACTCACCCCTATCTCCAGCCATTCACTGAGTCATCTGGGAGGCAGGCCTGGTGCTATATATGTGTGGCAAGAATGAGAGCTGTCTCCCTGCTGCCCAAGGTGAGGCCCAAGGAAGCAGAGACCCAGTCAAGTTCATGTAGGCTGTGCTGGCTAGTTTTATGTCAACTTGACACAAGCTAGAGTCATCAGAGAGAAGGAACCCTCACCTGAGACAATGCCTCCATAAGACTGGGCTGTAGGGCATTTTCTTAATTAGTGATTGATGGGGGAGGGTCCAACCCACTGTGGGTGGGGCCATCCCTGGGCTGGTGATCCTGGGTTCTACAAGAAAGCAGGCTGAGCAAGCCGTGGGGAGCAAGCCAGTGAGCAGCACCCCTGTGTGAGCTCTGCATTTCCTTCCTGCAGGCTCCTGCCCTATTTGAGTTCCTGTCCTGACTTCCTTTGATGATGAACAGTGCTGTGCAGGTAAGTGCAAGCCAAATAAACCCTTTACTCTCAGAGTTATTTTAGTCATGGTGTTTCATCACAGCAACAGAAACCCCGACCATAACATGGCCAACGCTCACACTGAGGGCAAGCTACACTGAGAAATACCCCACACTTGCTTTAATGCTTGTGATTGCCTCTCTTGGAGTTCTTTAATTTTATACAAAAGATCCTAAATTTTTGTTTTGAACTAGACCCTTGGGTTAGAGATAAAGTTCAATGGTAGAACACCTATCATGCGTTAGGCCCTGGGTTTAATCAAAGAACTGAGCCCTATAAATTATATAACTAGTCTTGAGTATACCAAGGCCTAAGGTGTACATCCATGACAGAGCCTAGAGCAGTGTTTCTCAACCTCCCTAGTACTGAAACCCTTTAATATAGTTCCTCATAATATTTCATTGCTACTTCATAACTGTAACTTTGCTACTGTTATTAATCAAACTGTAAATGTCTGATATGCAGGATGTATGATATGCAACCCCACAAGTTGAGAGGCCCTGGCCTAGAGCGAAGTTTGCCCACCACAGTGTGTCTCTCATACATCCCTCCTCACCCCCAGCTCCCCAGGGATATGGGAAGGCCCCTGCGTTCCAGCCCCACAACACTTGGCCTCTTCCTTTCATATGGAACTTACCATATAAGGCATGAACTCATGCATATTTCTCTGTAGTTTTGTTCCTCTGCCCCTCTCAAAACAGATTGCAAATACCATGAGGTCTCAGCTTGTGTCTGCTCATCTCAACAGTGCTTGCTACTGTTCCTCACACACTGAAAAAAAAATCCACTTAACTTTAATTTAATCTTATTAGTGACTCCTCATTTTCTCTTCACGTGCATCGGATTGCTCCCAGCAGTCTCTCCACTACTGGAAAAAGAAATAAAAGTATGAGACGGGAGAGTCATCCACACAAACCCGAGTCCAGCGAGCTCCAGTGTCCCACCCCAGGCCATCTGTGTAAGGCAGCAAGGCAGGAAGAAACAACCTTTTACAGACAAGCTGGGTCTCCAGCATTTCTTCTGTCCCTGGGAACACACAGGTTTAGTGGCAAATCTCCAGATGATAGTGGCAAGTTGTAGATGCAGCAAAATTTCCGTAATCAATTCTCATCCAGGCATGGTAGTACAGGGGAGGGGGAGAAGGAAGCAAAACCTTAAGAAAAAAGTGTGCCTAGGAAGTACAGAACTGATAAAAGGACCGGGG